ACATGATGAACAGATCAGGGAATTCTTCCGAGGCGGTGGTGAGCATACGCTCGAGCAGCTCCTCGCGTTGGCGCGGCGCCGGAGGCGCGCGTTCGTCTACCAGGCTGCGATTTTGTCGAACAGGCCAGTGTTTGAAATCTGGCCCGATTACGATGAAAACGAGCTTGGACCGACACCCGAGCGCGTTCCGCTCCTCACAGGCAAGGTCTGGCCTTGGGGCTGGTGGGATTGCTTTACTTGTGGGCGTGCGAACCCACCAGAACGCAATACCTGCCGGCACCATGATTCCGAGGAGCTCGGAGGTGCCCCCTGTGTGGGGATCTTCGAGGACAGCCTGTACTGGAGCACGCCGGTGGACCTGCGAACGGCGCCGGCGTGGTTCATCGAGGTCTGGCTCGATGAACATAAGGAACGCATAAAGGAGTACCTTTATGCGAAGCGTTCGGACGCGATCGCCGCCGCAATGTCCAACGCCTACTGGACCTGTGGGCGGGACACATGCCAAGAGAGGAACATGTTATGGCGCAAACTGTGCTTTAAGTGCAGTGGCCCTAAGTCGGGCGCGTCGTTCATAACCCACGGCATGCCGCCCCAGGAAGGCGACGATGAAGCTGCTTCTTCGTCGGAAGAGAGCGAGGGCACGAAGATGGAACGGATCGAGCGTTCCATCAACGCCGATCCCCTTGCGGAGCATGCGAGGAAATTCCTCCGCTCCGGACGGAAGAGGCTCCGCGCTGAAAAGCGCAGGCAGGCAGAGCTCTCTCAAGACTCTGCCCGAGCCTGGTGGAGCCAACCTTCCTCCGGGCGCGGTGCACCCAGTGGGGGCCGCAGCTCTGGCAGCAAGGGTGGTGGCAAAGGTGGTGGAAGGGGAAGCTCGAACCGCTACGGCAACCGAGGATGGTGGGCCGGAGGTGCTGCCGGACTGGCATACTCCTCCCGACTCGGCGAGCGTGCTGGGCAGCCCGCCCTCACGCTCCCACTGCGTGGCCCGGGTGGCCACAGAGTGGCGCCCGAGGCCCCTGCCGTTTCTTCTCGCCCCGCTGTCTCTTCCGGGCCCTCGAACCGTGGTGGGTTCCTTGGGGCCGTGCGCTCGATAGGCGCTGCGGTCTCCAGCTGGGCTCTCTCCAGGAGAGCGCGCAATCGCGCAGCCCACGCCACAACGGGCAACATTGGATGGAAGACGGGTTTGGTGGCCGCTGCGCTGGCGCCTACCCTCTTCACTGTTGAGCGCGGTGCCAGAGAGGTGGCACACGTGAGCCTCACTGCAGTTGCCACTGCGGCGGAGGACCTCATCGAGGAATCCTCTGGTATCCTCGTTCGGGGTGTCCGCGTGGTTGGCTTGACGGCCGTCGTCCTACTGTGGACGTTCGCGGCCGTAGTGCTGTGGTGGGCCGGACGTGTCGCCACTAACCGGCTAATGCACGCCATGAACGGTAACCCCTTTGGGAATGCTGTTCTGGTGTCGCTCGAAGGCCGGGAGGCTGTCTTTGAGGTTGCATCAAAGACTAAGGCCGGAGCACACAGGGTTCTTGTGAAGGTCGGGTCGGGCGCGGACGGCGCAGGCTGCGACTGCAAGGCATTCCTCAACGAGGGACGTTGTGGTCACATAGAACGCGCTGTTGAAGCTGCGGGGCAACTCGTGGCCATGACAGGCGCGAGCGCTGCCCCAACGCTGTCCGTCGCCCCGGCCGCGACTAGACGCGCCCGTGCGATCCTCGGCGCGCCGGCCCTGGAACAGGGGTGCCTTGCCGGCATGGTGTCGAAAGCGAGATCGCTCTCTGAAAGAGCTCGGAATGTCGGGAACCCGTCCGAGGGTTGCCTTGACGGCTTTACCAAGCTCAGAGGCCGCCACGAGGTGGCCACAGTGTCGGCGCCTCCGACAGAGACTGTTCCGAAGACGCCTGCAGCGGAGGCTTCCCGCCAGGGTACCTCTGCGGCGTCTCCGGCTCCGACAGCTCCCATGTCGAGCCAGGCACGGCGTGTCAGAGACTTCCCGATCCCTGACGGCTTCGAGCGAGCCGGGGTCAAGTTTCTGACCCTTCCGGAGTATCACGCTGTGGTACAAACGATGCTATCGGACGCTGGGCATGGGGACCACGTTTACGTGCGAGCCTACAGCTTCGATAGCAAGCCTTTGGTTGGAGCCCTCGTGTCCTCGCTGGAGCGAGGCGCCCGAGCCCACGTGCTTGCCGACAACTCGCAGACGAGCCGGACCAAGCTCCAGCTGCAGTCCCTCAAGGAGCTAGGGGCGGCTGGCGTCCAGGTCCGTGTCGGCAAGGGCACCTCGGTCAAGGCGGCTTACGCCGCCGAGAACCGCACGGACGTGAGCATCGGCGCAGGCCTCGCGGGCATCCACCACGCCAAGACGGTGCTCGTGACGAGGCCGGACTCCACAGTTAGCGCCGTGATAGGAAGCCTAAACTTTAGTGCTAGTTCACGGCCAACGCGGAGGTCGGCATCGCGGTCGCCAGTGTGCTGACCTCTGAATTTAGCCAAAAGTGGCTAGATTCGTTTGGCACCGAGTGGTCCAAGGCGCTGAAGCTCGAGGAGTTCGAAGCACCTCAGCGGAACCACCGCGGGCGGGCAAAACCCTCAAATGTCCAGCAGCCCGCCGCGCAACCCAACGTGGAGCCGCAGTGACCGTGGACTAGAAGTCGCGGACTGCGCTCCGCCCTTCTAGCCACCTGTGGCAACTTCAGTTTTGGTCGCAGCACCTAGCTGCTTTCCGATGAGACGACAGGGTGGCGTATCCGCTCTACAGGTCTTTGACGGGAGCGGCTAGGGAGGCACGGTAGTGCTCCCGAAGCGCGTGGAGTAACGCCGCAGCTTCAGCTGCTCGTTTCACCAGCCCTGTGGCCGCAGTGCGGCGCAGGCTGTGTACAGTAGGAAACCAGAGCCTCGTGCAGCACAGGCCGTGAAAAACGAAGGTCTTGTGCTGAGTGCGAAGGGTTTGTAGGAGGGCAGGGTCTGTAGGTCAGTTTTACGGCCTCCGGCCGCCCGCGGAATCCTACGGCTCTATCGTGCTCTCGGCTGAGGGGCGAATGTAACTGTACATAGTCTGCGGGCTGGCTGTTGTGCTGTATGCTTTTATGCATGCTCTTCTGTAATTCGTATTCATAACATTTTTGGCTCAAGTGAGCACGGCAGTGTGTCGTTGGTAGCTTCTCGTTGCCGCGACGCAATTGCGCGCAGCCCGTCCTGGGCGGACGTTCGACCTGTCACGGTCGTTGGACTTTCTGCTTGGACGGAAAACGAGGGTGCGTGCTGCCCCTTTGGGTTTCCGTTCTCCACATACTACTACTACTACTACTACTACTACTACTACTACTACTACTACTACTACTACTACTACTACTACTACTACTACTACTACTACTACTACTACTACTACTACTACTACTACTACTACTACTACTACTACTACTACTACTACTACTACTACTACTACTACTACTACTACTACTACTACTACTACTACTACTACTACTACTACTACTACTACTACTACTACTACTACTACTACTACTACTACTACTACTACTATACTACGACTACTACTACTACTACTACTACTACTACTACTACTACTACTACTACTCTACTACTACTACTACTGCTACTACTACTACTACTACTACTACTACTACTACTACTACTACTACTACTACTACTACTACTACTACTACTACTACTACTACTACTACTACTACTACTACTACTACTACTACTACTACTACTACTACTACTACTACTACTACTACTACTACTACTACTACTACTACTACTACTACTACTACTACTACTACTACTACTACTACTACTACTACTACTACTACTACTACTACTACTACTACTACTACTACTACTACTACTACTACTACTACTACTACAGGTTTGCCGATCCTCCGGCCCCTAGCGCCAGGGGTGCCGTTCCTCCGGCCCTGCTCTTCTACTAGTACTAGTACTACGAAAACCTACGCAGTGTAACAACCATAACCGGACCATAACCACTATACGTACCGTCCTGGATGCCAGGACTGCATAACCGCTATATTTACCGTCCTGGATGCCAGGACTGCAAAGATCTACTTGCAAAACTGATAAACTATTTATGTGCTGTGTATGCAGAAGCTGAAGCCCCGAAAGCCCAAGCAGTGTTTGCAGAAGCTGAAGCCCCGAAAGCCCAAGCAGTGTTTGCAGAAGCTGAAGCCCCGAAAACCCAAGCAGTGTTTGCACAAGCTGAAGCACCGAAAGCCAAGCAGTGTTTGCAGAAGCTGTAGTAGTAGGTGAAGGTTTGGCTGCTTTGCGCCACCCCTCCGGAGGCAGAGAACGGCCGTTGGCACCTCGCCACGCCACACAAATTCATTAACACCCTTTTCGTACGGCCAGAAGCTGAAGCACCGATTGCAGAAGCTGAATCACCGAAAGCCAGGCGGTGTTCGCAATGCTGCAGCCGGTGGTGCTCGAGATTTTGGATCCCTTGCCTCCAACACCATGAAGAAAGGCTTCTTGCTGCCGAAAAATGATGCGAAGACCGAGAAACCCAAGAAGACGCGGCCACCCGAGAAGACCGAAAAGGATGATGCTCTTCAACAGCCGGCGGTCTCGAGCTCAGCCGCCGCCGAGGTTCCGAAGATCTATACCCAACCAGAGATCAACCACTTCGTGAAGCAGCTGGAGGTTATGAGACGTTGGGGATCCGACGACTTCACCTATATCACGGAATCGGGAGAAATCTTCGGCAAAGGAGATCTGGAAGAGATTGTTCGTCGCTATGGACGATAGATCGCTCTGTGCACCCGCGGCGGATGAAAATTGAATTTCCTGCCTTGGTTGGCTGCCCCAAGTTGCTCAAATGTATTGCTTTAGGTTGCTGCTCGCTTGGATCTTTGCATTCCGCTTTCTGTTGCTGCGTGTTGGTCAATGTCAGCATGGCAGCATCTTTTGTATTCAAGGTGTTTGGGAAGGGGCTCCCGTAGGCGGCCCTGGAATTCCAGGGCATGGCGAACGACCCCATGCGAGTGAAGCTGGAGCAGCTTGACGCTCTTTCGGGAGAAGCCGAGAACGACCCGGCGAAGTTCGGGCGGCTTCTGAACACCGCTATGAGGGCGGGGGCTGCTGCTGGCGGAGTGGCTGGGCAGGGCTTTTCGGACACCTTCCTGCAGGACCATTCGGGCTCAGGGAACTGGAAGAAAAGCAAACAAACATGCTGCCGCCTATCTAGGACACTCAGCAGACGGAGGCCACGATCGACGCGCAAGAGGAGCAGGACCTGATGAAAGAACTCGAGTCTCAGCTCTACGGCTGCGAGATGGACATCTCCTCCCAGGACTTCAATCCCGCCAAACCCATCCTGTTTCCGATACGCGCCATATCTGTTTCCAGGACGCCCAGCCGACCCAGTACGATCTGCCACCTGCTGACTTGCAGACAGAAGGACATCCATGACTCGCGTTTTGTTGCAGCTTCAGTGTGCACATGTTCTGGTTTGTTTCGATCACAGGTACAAAGGATGGCTTTGATGCCACGTTGGAGCATCTCATGCGTGAGGTCGGGCTCGAGGAACGCGAGGATGATGCGATCAGAAAATCTCCAAAGCGAGAGCTTGAAATTGATTTTGCCAGGGTCGCCAAGGAACTGGAGGATGAAACCATGTTGGCCAAGGAACATGAGGAAGCTGAGAAAGCCAGCAGAATGGCGAAGGAAAGGGAGGAAACTGAGAAAGCAAGGTTGGCCAAGGAAAAGGAAGAAGCTGAGAAAGTAAGCAAAATGATCAAGCAAATGGAGGAAGCTGAGAAAGGCAGGTTGGCCAAGGAAAGCGAGGAAGCCGAGAAAGCCATCAGAATGGCCAAGGAAATGGAGCAAGCCAAGCTGGCCAAGGAAAGGGAGGAAACTGAGAAAGCCAGGATGGCCAAGGAAATGGAGGAAGCCAAACTGGCCAAGGAAAGGGAGGAAGCTGAGAAAGTCAGGATGGCCAAGGAAATGGAGGAAGCCAAGCTGGCCAAGGAAAGGGAGGAAGCTGAGAAAGCCAGGATGGCCAAGGAAAGGGAGGAAGCCGAGAAAGCCATCAGAATGGCGAAGGAAAGGGAGGAAGCCAAGCTGGCCAAGGAAAGGGAGGAAACTGAGAAAGCCAGGATGGCCAAGGAAATGGAGGAAGCCAAGCTGGCCAAGGAAAGGGAGGAAGCTGAGAAAGCCAGGATGGCCAAGGAAAGGGAGGAAGCTGATAATGCCAGGTTGGCCAAGGAAAGGGAACAGTTCAGGCTGGCAAGATTGGCCAAGGACAAGGAGGAGGCCGAACATATGAGATCGGCCAAGGACAAGGCCAAGGAAAAGGAAGACGCTGATAAAGCCAAGGTGGAGGCCGTGCGACTTGTAAGAAACTAAGAAACCTTAACCCCTAAACCATAAGTATAAACCCCATAACCTAGAACCTCAACATTAAACCCGAAGCCTTAACTCCCTAAATTTTATACAGCCCTAAACCCCAAAGCCTAAATCCGCCACTGTCAGGTCGACATGGCAACACAGGCGGCAAAAAAATACCAGGCTTTGCCGATGAACGCGACAAAGTTGCAAAAGCTACAGCTCTTGCAGGACATTATGGCTACTGGGGATGAGGGTTGCAAGCAGTTCTGCAAGGATGAGCTTGCAAAACTGATCAAGCCGAAGGCAGCAACGCCAGCTCCGGCCCCTACCAGTGATGCCGATCCTCCGGCCCCTACCACAACGGGTGCCGATCCTCCGGCCCCTACCACCAGGGGTGCCGATCCTCCGGCCGCTACCACCAGGGGTGCCGATCCTCCGGCCCCTACCACCAGGGGTGCCGTTCCTCCGGCCCCTAATGCCCCGACCTTTGATGATGTCAGTGCGAAGATGGGTTGGTCAAGTCCTGCAACCCCACGCATGGTGGAGGCACCTGGTACGCCATCTCCTGCAACGCCTGGCAGTGCAATCACAACGCCTGGCAGTGCAAAAACAACGCCTGGCAGTGCAAGCGACGGCTTGGTCCAAGGTTCTGCGCCACTCTACAACCGAAAGAACGCCGCCATGTTCTTGAATCGCCTGAAAGGCAACCCAAAGAGGATGCAAGCCTTGCCTGATGACTTGGCAAAGTTGGTGCGGGACGAAGATTCAAAGAGCAAAGCCATCGACTTGATCGTCGCTGCAGGAGGAGACGAAAATGAGCTGGTCGGGCAGTGGACTGCATCGTCCATTTCTGTGGGGACGGACAAGGAAAAGGGAAAGATGAAACCTTTGACGGAACAGGAATTGATCGGCAAGTACGGTGCGGTCAATGCTGCGAAGGTGATGGAGGAAAAAAGGAAGGCTGGTTTGGAGGTTGATGATCCCAATTGTAAAGGGCTCAAGCTTTACTTGCACAACGAGTGGCAGAGGGAATGGACGAGAGGCACAGAAGAACGTTTCTTGCTTGCATTCATACATCGTGCATGCAGTTATGTTCGACTTCAACATTTATGTAGCATTCGTGCATTCATGCGAACGGAATCCGAGGAAGCAGTTTCACTGCTTCCGGAGAAGTTCGTGCGGGTGACGCTGCCAACGTTGCACAAATTCTCAGTGTGCCCCGGCGGGCGCTGACAGGGCCCGGCCAGGATGATGAGGACAATGTGGACATGGAGGAGGACCCAAAGCCACTTCCGACCAAAAAACCAAAGAAAGCCAGGAAAAATGAAGCCAGCGGCAAAGAGAAAGACGAAGACGGTGAAACTGAGCCGGAAGCACCACGAGTGGAGAAACTTACACCGCTGGACAAGGCGGCAGACTTAAGGCGAAGGCCAACCACGCTGGCTCGATGCGGAAGCAGTTGAAAGGAGTCAGCTATGCGACTGAATGCCTCAAGGAGATGACCAACTTCGAGCAGGAGGTCCAGTGCCTTGGCTGCATTGATACCTACTAGATTGTTTTATGAGCCTCTGCCCCACAGGGCAGGCTACCCTGGTCTAGCCATATGAACAAGAAGTCTTGACAGACGCTCATGTGGCCCCAACCCAGTACTATACGGCCAAGGGCGATCTACGACCAGGTGGACAAGCTCATCTCTGAGCTGGTCCACGATGATGGGGTTTATCTTCCCACTGCTACCAGATATCTCGATATCGCGAAGCGTTATGAGAGGCCCAGCAAGGTAGCAAACAGCTTGATCCGAGCTGCGAAGGCGACTCCGAAGGATCCAACCGCGCCCAAAGGATCGGCTAAAGCCAAGTCCAAGAAGCGCAAAGCCGCGGAGGGAGCCTAGAAAGAATCTTGGCACCCGGGGTCGGTGCTCAGATGGGCATGTCGTGCTGTTCACGTATATTAGAATATATTAGAATACTGCAAGGTTACTGGTAACAGATCCATCTGGATTTTGCACATCTCATTTTCTTCCAGTGTCCGACACTGATAACGTACAGTTGGTGTAGGGTCCTCGCCCAAGGGCTCGAGGACCCAAGCCAGTGTGAAAGAAATTCCGTGCTGCTTTGCACAAGATGCTCTCGACTTTCAATCCTTGGGGAATCGATCGTCGCTCTGGTGCCAAAAATTGCTTGCTGCAGATGCCCTGACGGGGTTTCACGTGATGGGGTGGAAGGAATGAAAAACATTGTTGCCAGGTACGTGCCCTTGACAGAGTCTGGTCGGCCTGCCTTTACGACACGTCGTCGTGGGATGCTGCTGGGACCGCAATATATGCAATAAGCATAAACACGCCACTGGAGCAAGGACCGCAGATGACTTTGACTCCGCTGGTGCAGCTTTACTGGCCCAGCGCATGGGTGCTGGAGACTCTTGACTTGGATGTATCCAAGCACGTCAGCTATATAGTCCGTGTGCAACACTCTTGGACCTTGCAGCCAGAACACACATTCTGAGGCGATACCTGTGGCCGAAACAAGCAGAATAGCATCTGCCTTCCGGCGAGATGGGGCATCTGGACTTGCCCTTTCACAAATGGCAAGCAGCGAACGGGAGAGGGATTTCTTCCGCTGGGTGAAGTTACCCATCCAGCCCCTGCTGGTGGATTTGCCTGTGTGGAGCAACACCAAAGAACGCAAGGACAAACAACTGATATTTGAGAAAACAGCTTTCTGTCTTCCCAGTGATGTTCTCTGCGAGCTTTGCGAAAGATCACTGGTGGAAACCTGTCTTATTGGACATTCGCACCTCGGCCCGCGCCTGATTGCTTGGTTCATTGTTGGTGCATGTATTGCTCATGGACGCACATTTCCTGCTTTGATATCTCAGGTCAGTAGATGAATGGTGGAAGCAAGAACGGGACCAGGTTTACATACGGGAGATCTCCCGGAACAATCCCAACTACCAGGACATGCTTCCATTACGCTTTCATGAGGATGGTGTACCAACAACTAAGAGCGAAACATGCAACTTCTGGTCTTGGACCACGCCTTTGGCTAGCCGCGGAAGCGAGATCTCTCGCTTCTGTCCCTCGGAAATTTTCGATTAGCAATATTCTTTTAGTTGGACAACCCCAAAGGCTCCATGTATCGTCATAGCCGATACTTGGGCAAAATTGTGCTGAGCGGACACATTGTGCCCAGACGTTACTTGAGATTTGGAGGGGTTTGAAGCCATGCCTATTGATGGGTTTGGGTATGGCGATCTCGAAGGATTAATGACACGTTTTTGCAATTGATCATCAAGTGAAACGGCATTATTGTACGACTTGCATTAGGGTTTCACGACCTCGCTCGATGGGTTGGGTTTGCCTGGGGTTTGACGACCTCGCTCTTGATGGGTTGGGTTTGCCTTTCACGACCTCGCTCTTGATGGGTTGGGTTTGCCTGGGGTTTCCCGACCTCGCTCTTGATGGGTTGGGTTTGCCGTCGATGGATTTTCGAGGGTTTCGACACCTATATCGACCTGATTTTTACTTTGTCTCGATGTACTGGGCCGGGGTTATTTGTCTTTACTGTGTCACAATATTTTATATATGTCCGTCTTCTTTCCTGTGTGTGTGTGTAAGTGTGTGTGTGTGTGTGTGCCTGCACGTTGGTGTGTAAGTACAAGTGTAGGTACTGTATATAAGTACTGTAAGTGTAAGTAGTATGTGTGTGTGTGTGTGGTGTGTGGTGTGTGTGTGTGTACCGCAGCAGTACTAGTACTGTGGGTCGGTGGTTAGTACTAGTAATACTAGTACTAGTGTAGGTCTGGGAATTCGTTTGTAATATAATTATTGTATATAATATGTACAGGTGTGTGCTGCTTTTGTACTGTGTGTTCTCGCGAATGAGCTTATGCACGTGTAACGTCTACATCCGCCGTGTTCTGCAGGAGGAACCTCGAGCAAATGTGTGTATACAGCATGTCTCGGTACTAGCTAGTATAGTACTAGCTACGTATAGTAGCTGTGCAGTACATGTACAGCAGTACAGATCGCTCGCCTGCAGGTGGAGCCTGGATACATACATATATATATATATATATGTATGTATGTATGTATATATTATAGCTGGCTATAGTGCAGGTGCACGCCTTATCTGGCACACACTCGCTCGCTCGAAGACATGTGCCTGTAGCTAGACGTGTGTACATGTATGGGCCGTATGGGGTATATCATGTCTAGAGCTCGGTTCCATAATTGACTGCATTTTTACAATGCCGGGCCGCTGGATCATGCTTCACGAATGTTCGTCGAAGCGAAAGGCAGGTGCGCCCACCCCTATCAGCTGCCAGTACGTGCTGTGAGTGTGCAGTGGCCATGCATGCAGTGATCGATTGCAATCCTTGCCCTTGCATAGCTCATGAATCTGCAGTTTTCGGGGCCGAGCGAGCATGTGCACGGGTGCATGGCAGTCCAGATGTTTGCAATTCGGTCTGCAAGTCTTCGGGGCCGATCGCAGATCTAGAACACTTCAGCTTAAGCTTCTATGCATCACATGCCGATCGGGCTTCAAGAGGTGAAGGATCCGCTGCCAAAATGGCAGAACCAGAGTTCAAGTTCCTCGATGGTGTGCGGCGGTCTGCTCAAGGCGAATTAATCCGCGGTAAGCAGGTTATACGGCCCCTGCGGTTTTTCGTGAGTGAAACTAGTCAGCATATGATTGCACCGGATGCACATCCTGATATGCAGATCGAACGTGTTCCGAATCCCAGGATTCGGCAATGAGAATCGTGGCATGCCTCCGCCCGCTGGTGGAGTCCCGCTTGGAGGAGCTTCGGCAAGACAAGGCGACTCGAGTTGCATGTTCCGGCTGGTGTGCTTCTCTATATGTCTGCTAGCTGCTTCTATTTCTATTTTGGATCAGAAGCCCAGGCTACCAAGCTGGTAGATGTCTTCGACACGAACATTTCGCAGCATGATATGATGTCGAAGAAGAACTTTGAGGTCATGAAATGCTACGGGGCTCAGCTTTTCCACAACGTGGAAGAAAGGAAACAGCTCATCTCGATGAAAGAGCACCGGGCTGCTGTCCTTTACTTGTCTTGCTGCTACAATCTCCAGAAGGTTTCGAAGGGTAGCAAGCAGCGGGTGAAGGATTGGGCCGAGCTCCAGGGGACACGGTTAAGATGGCTGGCTGCATATGTTGTGCAGTCAGTCTGCCGGACCAGCCAGTCGAGGACTGCCGGACCACGCAGCTCATGATCACCATTGATCGTTCATGCATATTTATCGAATAATATATCGATATCGCAGGAGTGACGAGATGAAAATCCTCAAGGGGATTTATTTGGCCGTGAACGGCCGCTCCCTTCCCGAGAAGCCAGAGCGCAGATCCTCGGAGTCGAGTCTGAGCTCGGAGGTGCTTCCATAAAGAACACTATTAAGTACTATATCTACCATTTCTGTGGCTTTCCATGCATATCTAGACTTTTCCTTAAGCCCGGCAGGTGATCGACATCGATGATTGTGCCGACGATGACGAGGAGGCCGGAGATATCTTTGAAATCTTCGATGAGGATGAGGAAGCTTTTGGACCGCAACATATTTCGTTGTGGCTTCGTGCTTTCGGAGGTTGAGTGTGTGTTTGAATGTGCGGTTTGAGTTGGTCGGGGGATCCAAGGTTCCCGGCGAAGAGAAACCGACGCCATACGATGAGATTGGCGAGGCTAGAGCCAGGGGTTCAGTTGCTGCAATGATTTGAGTTGAAAACATATTTCAAGTGCAGGACCGTCTGGGTGTGGATTCCGATTGCCCACGTCCCGAGTTGCATGGCCAGGTGCAGAAAATAGTTGTCTGAGTTTCAATGCAAAATAGGCTAAGCTTTAAGGGTTTCCTGGGTTTACAGCGGGTTTCAATCCGCAGCAGGCTGGAGTGCCAAACGATGGGTCACAGATGATCATCGATGACGACAGCGAGGATGATCGTGAAGCTGATGAGGAGGGGTCAGTGCGAGTGGTATTGAATCGATGAAGCAAAACCTTAAGCTTGAGTTTTCATGTAGATCCGATCCAGGGGACCATCCAACTGAAAGCGGAGCTGGACCGGGCACTGGACTCACGGCTGCATTGTAATGGGGCTGCCGGGGTTTCAACTGCTGATCTATTGAAAACATATTTCAAATTCAGGACGCTCTGGGTGTGAATGCCGATTGCCCACTTCTCGAGTTGCATGGCCAGGTGCACAAAATAGTTGCTTTAGTTATCTTTAGACTGATCTAGGGCTTTCGTGGGTTTACTGTACATGTGGGTTCCGTGTTCCATCCGCAGCAGGCTGGGAAGCAAGATGCTGGGTCAAATCTGGTCACCGTCTGCAGTGACAACGAGGATGCTCCTGAAGCTGACGAGGATAGAACGAGTGGTGTTAAGATCATGATGAATGAAGCACGACCTTGGTTTTTTCATGTAGTTCCGATACAGGAGACCATCAGACAGAAAGATCTGCTGAACCGGGAACTGGACTCACGGCTGCATTGTGATGGGGCCCCTGGAACATTTTCATCAACCTCGAAAATCGCAAGATTTACCGTTTTCAGGAGGATCGACGCCATCGACACCATGGGACTTTCAGGATTCAAGAGCTGCCCGACTGGCTGCTGAAGGACTGAAAAGCCAGGGGGACGATATGTGTGAATCACTTATATAATAATATACATGCCAGCCGCACTTCTGCACGCAAGGACCCGATGCTTCGACTTCGAGAGCTGAGGCCACGTGGATTGTATTCGATCATTATTATGTATGTGCAATAATAAAATATATTCCCGATCGCCAATCCTAAGAAGCCGTAGACCCTAGTGCTAGCATGCTCGTATACGTAGTGATGAATCATGCATCATGTGCTCGAGCTCCTTGGGCCTA